ACGAGGAGGGACAGGGCACGTTACATGGCATAGCTCACGAACGCCGGCAATTAATGTGCCTCGACTCGCAGAAGGTCGCCTCAAAACGTCGCCCCATCAGATATCTGGCATCGCCCCTCTCCGCACGTTGCGGGTCTCGCGACGAACTTCTTGGTTTATGGCGGATGGCCAGCATCAGCCAGCCACTGGCTACCGTTGCCAATAGCCCCAGACATGCGACGTCCTGATTCCCAACCAACCTGTGTTGTTGGGTCCTCGTTTTGAAGAGACGGTCCCCTCGTTCCTTCCTCCTTCCTCCTTCCTCCTCCTTCCTCCTCCTCCCCTTCCTCCCCCCTCCTCCCCCTCCCACACCCATTCTGGCACACCCCTCACACGTTTCGTGGCCCCATAGGGAGCTCCACCGAGGGCCCCAGTGGCTGCGCCCGCATGCGGTTCCACCCCCCATTCTGGCACACCCCTCACACGTTTCGTGGCCCCATAGGGAGCTCCACCGAAGGCCCCAGTGGCTGCGCCCGCATGCGGTTCCACCCCCCATTCTGGCACACCCCTCACACGTTTCGTGGCCCCATAGGGAGCTCCACCGAAGGCCCCAGTGGCTGCGCCCGCATGCGGTTCCACCCCCCATTCTGAGCCCACCCGCATCACACCCCGCACACCCCTCACACGTTTCGTGGCCCCATAGGGAGCTCCACCGAAGGCCCCAGTGGCTGCGCCCGCATGCGGTTCCACCCCCCATTCTGGCACACCCCTCACACGTTTCGTGGCCCCATAGGGAGCTCCACCGAAGGCCCCAGTGGCTGCGCCCGCATGCGGTTCCACCCCCCATTCTGGCACACCCCTCACACGTTTCGTGGCCCCATAGGGAGCTCCACCGAAGGCCCCAGTGGCTGCGCCCGCATGCGGTTCCACCCCCCATTCTGGCACACCCCTCACACGTTTCGTGGCCCCATAGGGAGCTCCACCGAAGGCCCCAGTGGCTGCGCCCGCATGCGGTTCCACCCCCCATTCTGGCACACCCCTCACACGTTTCGTGGCCCCATAGGGAGCTCCACCGAAGGCCCCAGTGGCTGCGCCCGCATGCGGTTCCACCCCCCATTCTGGCACACCCCTCACACGTTTCGTGGCCCCATAGGGAGCTCCACCGAAGGCCCCAGTGGCTGCGCCCGCATGCGGTTCCACCCCCCATTCTGGCACACCCTCACACGTTTCGTGGCCCCATAGGGAGCTCCACCGAAGGCCCCAGTGGCTGCGCCCGCATGCGGTTCCACCCCCCATTCTGGCACACCCCTCACACGTTTCGTGGCCCCATAGGGAGCTCCACCGAAGGCCCCAGTGGCTGCGCCCGCATGCGGTTCCACCCCCCATTCTGGCACACCCCTCACACGTTTCGTGGCCCCATAGGGAGCTCCACCGAAGGCCCCAGTGGCTGCGCCCGCATGCGGTTCCACCCCCCATTCTGGCACACCCCTCACACGTTTCGTGGCCCCATAGGGAGCTCCACCGAAGGCCCCAGTGGCTGCGCCCGCATGCGGTTCCACCCCCCATTCTGGCACACCCCTCACACGTTTCGTGGCCCCATAGGGAGCTCCACCGAAGGCCCCAGTGGCTGCGCCCGCATGCGGTTCCACCCCCCATTCTGGCACACCCCTCACACGTTTCGTGGCTCCATAGGGAGCTCCACCGAGCGCCCCAGTGGCTGCGCTCGCATGCGGTTCCACCCCCCCATTTCGGCACACCCCTCACTCGTTTCGTGGCCCGGGGGCGCCACCGAAGAATATACCCACAATTGCGGTATTCACAACTACGTATGGTTGGGTCTTTCGTCAGGCTATTTTTTTCAGGACGGCGTCCCCGAAGTCCAGACCCTTTCCCGGGGGCCGGTGTTTCTATCCTGAGTCGTTTTTTGACGCTTCCAGGGACCGGCGAGGGCCCCCCAGGGCAGAACATAGCGAACAAACGCCCGTCCTGATTGGTTTAACGACGCGAGCATGTCTGGGGCGCAATCCGTCCACGCCTTGGCGTTTGACCCGCCAGGCAACACATGCACACACACCCGAGCACACCTCAAGCCGCTCTCAAGCCCCTACCCCCCATCCTCCAGCCCAGGCGCGCCCCCTCCTTCGCAGCTTGGGTCAGCGGCCCCCCCTGTCCAGGCTCGTCTACGGCCTGGCCCTGATCATGCTTGATAAGGCTTCGGGTGGCGCCGGGGTTGTCCCGGAGCTTAGTGGGCCCTGGAAACGACAGGGCCGTTTTTGTTACCGGTTCCATTTTGCCGTTTTTGTTGCCGGTTCCAACGCCGTTGTTTTACCGGTTCTGTCGCCGTTTTTTGACCGGTTCCGGCTCCGGTTCCAAGCCTGGAGCCGTTTTTGTTGCCGTTTCCGGTCGCCGTTTTTGTGCCGTTTCCATTTTCAAGGGGCATTTTTTTGGAAGCGGTGAAAAAACGGCCCTGCCATTTATGGGGCCCACAAAGGTCCCGGAGGACCTGCACAGGCCCCCCGAG